TTTTATCAAAACTAACTGAACGTATAATATTGGATATGATCTAGTTTAATGCCGAAATAGATGAATTTACCCCACTTCCATATACAACATATTCTAACAAATATGTCGCTCAAGTTGTGAGTTATTGTATATTTATAAAATTGCTTGAAAATATGCTCTCAAGAATACCTGCAATGTCAAAATTAACTCAATCAGCTCATCCCTTTCTCTGTCCCAAATATAGCCTGTATAATAACTTCCGACTATCCACCTGACAAAATGTTGTGTATTTAATAAAAATTAAATGAACATATAATTTATAATATAACTTAATAAAATACCAAATTTGATTGTAATCCATTACCGATTTCGTCAAATAATGAATGTTGAATTGTTTCGCAACATTTTTATACTCTCGCAACACCTAAAACTAATTGAGTTAGATATAGGGTTATGTATATATAAATGATTAGGATGAAGAGACGAGTCGAAATCCGGGTGACTGTCCGTCCGTCTTTGCAAGCTGTAACTTGAGTAAAATTTTCCATGTTATAGTGCGAAAATGGGCGAAATCGGATTACAACCAGGTCTATTTCCCATATAACACCATTTTAAATTCCATCTGATTCTTTCACTTTCCACTATGCAAATCAAACAATAATGATTGTATCGGGGTAAAACTTTGCGTAGATAATGCGTTTAAAAAACATTGTCTAAATCGAACCAAAACTTTTCAAGCCCCTAGGTACTGAATATGTGGACCCCAGTGCCTATAGTTTACTTTTTACTTCCTATAGCCCTCATATACCTAATCTAAAGATTTTTGAACTTCCGCGTGACTTTATACCGCATATATCGACCAATATGTGAGTGAGAGAGCGTGTAACTAATATCAGGATTTTCGAACATTCGTCTGACTTGAATCCATTTGATTGGTGATGGTATGTAAGGTACTTAAATGAAACAGTGGCAGCATTTTATTAGTCTGTGGCATGTTAGTAGTATGAGGTATTGGCAAGAATTGATAAAATGGGGTGAATACTAACCTCAACTTCCAAATACTACTTATAATGATTTTCGTTATCCTAACAAGTTTTATGCCGAATATGTCGGTCAGTGACTATTAATTTTTTTTTCCCAAAGAGTATACCATTTGACGAAAGTCTAAAAAGGTAAAATGTTCGGTTACATCCAAACCTAGCCCTTCCTTGTTTTGTTTAATATAAAGTTTTCCTAACACCTGAAGGTATTTTCCCTGCTTTGACCCTTGTAAGTTGTAGGAGTATAAAATGTTCGGTTACACCCGAACTTAGCTCTTCATTACTTATTTGATATGAAGTTTTGCCAACAACTGAAGGTATTAGCCGGCTTTGATCCGGCAAGGGTATAAAATTTCTTCGGAGATTATAAAGTTGAAAATTTATTTTTAATTCAAAGCGTTTGGTATGCCAACTCGAAAAAATGTAAATTTTAAAACAATTTCTTTTATTAATTCTGAAAATTTTTGGGACTAAAATTTAAATTTTTTATTTATTAGTTTGTATGGCATATATCTCTAAAACTGAGGGACTAGTTCGCGTATATACAGACAGACGGACAAACTGACGGGTAGGCAGACGTCTAAATCGACTCAGCTCGTCCCGCTGATATATTATATTTTTTATTTCAATATTAATATTTAAATATGCCTGTAACCATACTTTATTTGAAATATCCAACTCTATTTCTTACTCTGGCACTGATATATCTTGAAGATGGTTACATCGAGGTATCTTACCAAAACAAGTTTAACATACGTGGACTAATTTGAATAATGTAAATTATAAATCAATAAAGGATAACTATAATATCAAATAGTTAATGCAAAAATCCCTTCCGTTGGCGGTGATTGCACTGTCCATTTCGGTTGATAACTTAAGAACAATGGCTGCCAGCAGTATTCAATTCAATACGACACAGATCATAGGGCTGCCGATCATACTGTAAGCTCATGTTATTAAAATTGTTAAAACAGAAAGGGCTTCAAATTCTCAAAGGTACCTTTAGGCAATCCAATAACCGCGACTATACTGTATAAAATATGTATATACATAAATACATACATTTCCCACCTTCAGTAAACATTGAAATTTTACTTTACTACTTTGCCGTTGGTCATCCATTGCATTCATGCGTCGCTGATCTGAAAGTTAATTTTATACCTGTTAACATTTTTTAAATATAATATGCATTTTTTTATATTTTTTTGTGTATTTGGCACTAAAGTGTTAATTTAACTGTCACAAGTTCCATGCTATTGGAAATCGAATGTAGAAGTGTGAGTTATTTGTTGTTACCAACACTCGGTACAGTAGTCCGGGTGTTTAACACTTATGAATAAACAAATTTTGGCTCCTTGATTATTTATTTGTACTGATACTGACTGACTGATTCTTCAAAAAATATCATTTTATACCTGTAGGAATATTGTGTTTCATTAATTGACATACGCCCAAATCAATTGATTGTAATTGTGTTAAAGTTTTACAATTAGTTGTGGATTAATTCAAAATAAGGAGCAAATGAGGTATGAGACACCTTAACTTATGAAAAGTATTTATTGGTATTTAATATTAAGAGATCGTTATTAATCGATAAGTGGTTGATATTATACAAATAGTGAAGAAAAATGTTGTAAACTCCAACAAGATTTGAATGTAATAATCAAAATATTATCGATTCGCTCACCACTTATTTACCTCGACACATCTCTAAAGACTAAACTCTTGGCTTCTCGAATGAAATTTGATACTAATTGGAAGAATTTCTATTAATAGCTGATAAAACCATGTTGTATCCGTTCGTTCTATTTATAAATATTATATAAGCATTAAGCTCATCACTATAAGCTAATATTTTGATTACTTTTTGATACTTACCCTACAAAACAGTGATTGACAGTCATCTGGTCATATGACTGTCACAGCTGAAAAAATTTTGTCTGCGCGCAGAACAAAGTTTCTATAATTTTCATAAGAGCCTTGGGCAAAAACTGATCTAAACAAACGTATGTGTGTGAGTTTGCATCTCTTTTTAATGCATTCGGAATTTATTTTATATGTATCTATACTGCTCACTTTCATGTCTTTTTCTGAGTGATTGCTGACCATAAATCCATTATAGCTGAAAATTGTCAATTATGACTGAAACTATGTTTTGCGCGCTGATAAAATTTTTTCAGCTGTGACTGTCATATGAACAGTCAGATGACTGTCACTGTTCTTGTAGGGTAGAGTTAGGTCCGTGAATGTATGTTAATACTGTTCACTTCAAATTTAGCACGCTTACTATAACTCCTTATATAAATATTTGCTTAAATATTTTGCAATGAATTAGCGAATAGATGAATTTAATTTTAAATATGACCTTATTGTATATCAATATACATACATATGTATCATATATATATTAGGGTGGGTCAAAAAACTGAATTTTTTTTTCGCTTGGTATTCTGAAAGCAAGTCTCTCCAAGCTCTATGAGATCTTAATTGTAACGGGAACGTCCTCCGCTTTACAGTTTGTTTTATTTTTTTCTTATCATCACAGAGAAAAAATCATATATCGCTTTCAACTACTTAAAAAAATATTTCGTTTTATGGATTTTGTTGGAAATTAAATGCTCTCCCAAAAAGGTTTAGAATGATTTTGTCGTAAACCTAACCGTTTAAAAGATATTAACGGTTGAAATTTGACAATTTTAAGTCAAATTTGTTTTTTTAATTAGAATTTTATAACTCAATGACAAAAATTATTTTAAATTGCAAAACTCAAAGTCTTCTAGAAAATTTATTGCTCTACAAAAGTTGCTTGTATAGTTTTTCGATTAAATTAAGCGTTTACGAGTTTTTCATTATCAAACGTCAATGCTTATTAAAGAAAAAAAACCAAAAAGAGAAAATAAAGAGACCAAAGTTTTTCATATCATAAACTAACTCAGCAAGTCATTGTTGACATTTGTCTTACAAATTTTAGCCTTGATCCCAGATTGAATGATACGCAACCACTACCGCTTTGTAAATAGTATAAAGACTTTCTATATACAGTTTATATACAAAGGAATTTTCTACATTTCTTTGGTACGTCCTTGGAACTTTTTCTTCTGCTATATCAACTTTCAGATTTGAGAGAAACTCTAATAGCTATTTTAAATTTTTTTTAACAAAAGCTGTCCCCATGGTCTAGATAATCAAAAGAGACACATGAGAAATATTTAGTCTTGGCGTATAGATAGATAATAGACATATAAAATAGAATAGGCATATAAAAGGTGGTCTCTTTTCTGAAAGCACCTATGCGTAATGCTATGCGTGCAATGTCTAAACCATTACTTTATATCCCAAAATAGTACTTAACGGATATAAGTTATTTGTTAGGAGATCGTCTTTAACGCGATTTTATTTATAAGATTATATAATGCTCGAGAAGTGCTACAGAGCTAGTAGTTTTACTAAATAACATAAAGATCTTCTGTGCTAACAATTTGTCAGAGGAAAATTTTATGAAAAATCTCTAAGCTCAGGGCTAAATGCTTCTTCCTAGTCGTAAGTAAGTCAGGAGAATCGCGTACCTTATCATCGGCGCAAATAAACCGATCATATAATTTTCTACTTCACATCAGAAAACAGCGATTTTTATTTGTTAAGTACGCGTGACGATATTCATACCACATATGTACATAGATTTATATGCAAATATGTACTTAGATATACTACGAATTTATCGCTGTTGACATTAATTTACCCAGTTATTAGTTGTACAAACACCACAGATTACATTTAGCAAACTCTCCGCGAGTAAATATTGACCTTTGTGTATTCGCATTAACTAGTAAAGTCGTCACTAACGTCTAACTAGCAGAAGCCACATATATTCCACCCATAAAATTTTTTGACTGCGTCTCGGATAATCGATTATATAATATAAGCAAAATATTGTAAATATTTTTTAATTCGTTTAAAACTCTTCTGTTCTTTATTTTATAGCGTTACAAATGCAGAATATATCTCACATTATCATCAGCACAACTTTACCTGTGTGGACTGGATGCGCGCTCCCGAGGCGGCAGCGGGTAATTGCACACGCTATGGCCGCTATGGTGCGCTGCGCTGTTATGGTGGCATAAGTAATTTACCCACAATACCGTAAGTTGACCTTGTGGTCCCAAAATCGCAGGATTGTGGCTGCTGCCAAACTTTAACTGTCAGCTTTTTAAATGCTCTTTGTGTCCATGATTTGACATTTGCAAAAATATAATCACTTGAAATCACTAAAGTTGAGATTTCGAATTGAAGTAGATATATCAGTGAAAAAAAAATCTGATATTGTATCGACTAAGTTGCTTAAAAATTCTTAGGAAAAAGCAGCAATAATAGGACAGTCGAGGGACATTCTATAGACATATCGTATTACTTATGGCACTACAGTGGCAATATCTGAACCCATTTGTCTTTAGACGATGCGTTGGTTCGTATATATATCGTACTAGACCAAACAGGAAAAAGTGACCCCAAAGAGGTAAATAGTTGAGGGAACATCAAAGCTACGATGTAATCGGGTGTTTGGGTCCAAACTATGCCATCCATCATGCCTGTTGGGACTTTGGACGGTCCGAATTTATATTCCTCCAATGACTGAAACCTCAGTAGCTTTCCCCAAAATTATTTGGATAATTTATTGAATTACTACAGTATAAGTATATCGCTAGATGATTTGAGTTTTTGACTACTTTTTAGTTTGTCTTGGATTACGTATATCTGCCTTTAGTCACAACATTCCATTTAGAGATTAGTACCAATTAGTTATTATCTTGCAAAAATGACTAATTTCTCTTATTCATTTATATTTTTCTGCCTTTTCTTTTAATTCCAACCCAAAGCGAACAAAAGGTGCACCGATTAGAGGATATCATTTTCTGTGGCTGGCCGGATCACGACTTCAATCCCATCACCGATTTGCAGGCATTTCCCAAAATACGTTCGCTCACTATCGAATACAGCGAGATGCAAGAGTTCGTTTTCGATTTTCCCGAAATGTTTTATCTACAAGTAAATTTTAACAAAACTATTTTAGCATATTATCTTACCACTCTATAACGCTTAGAGCATCAATATATCATGGACGAATCTATCTCAAGTAAATGCTCGCACCTTCAAGCGTGTACATGCCCTGCGTGTCGTAGATCTACGTTGGAATAAGTTGGTGCAATTAGATGGGCCACTCTTGTTGCCCCGCTATTTCGAGAAACTCTACTTAGCTGGCAAGTATCTAGTTGTTTGTGCACTTTCCGAAGTGTTTTATCATATTTTAATATCTATTAGTTTTTTCATAGGCAATCCATGGAATTGTACGCGCAATTTTAAATGGCTCTTGATACAAGAAAAGGGCGCCATGGTTGTTGATCGTGATGAGATCATTTGCATGGATAAGAAGTATAGAGATCGTCATATGTTGACTGTGATGAATTTTAAAGTGGTAAGTAAGACTTTGAAGTATTAATTGTAGTCGTTAGGGACCGATCACAACAAAACTTAAAATTGTTTAACTTTTTTTTGTGAAAAAGTTCACCACGCTTATCTTCCGATCTATATACAAAAACACAGAACGGTAACACTCTAACTTTTGATTCGTACTATCTGCCCTTTAATTGTATTAAAAATGCTGAACTGATTCCGCTTTAAAGTTATTCTCATTAACGAGCAAATTTAATAAATAATTTATGAAATCATTATTTCGAAGATTTTTTGAGATCTCAGGCCAAAGTTTCATGCATTTACTGCGAAAACCAGAACATTTGAACATAATAAAATATTTATTTAAATATTTATTTTATTATCGCTCTCAAAGTTTAGAACATATATACAAGGTGCTTTCCAAAGTAAACAGGACTTTTAAAAAAAGACAGCTTTTTGCACGGTCCAAAAGCAAGTCGAACCGGTATGACCGCCAGTATGCCGGTTCAAGCCTTCTGAATAGCCTCCACGTCTGTATAACGCTTTCCTTTCATCGGCAAATGCATTTTTCCGAAAAGGTAGAAGTCGCACGGTGCCATATCAGGTGAATACGGGGAGTGGTTGATTGTTAAAATGTGATTTTTGGTCAAATAATCGGCCACAAGCGTCGATCGCTGAGACGGCGCATTATCGTGCAACAAACGCCAACTTCCATCTTCGCGATATACGGGCCGAACACCTCGAATACGGCGCACCAAACGCTTCAAAACTCCAAGATAGAATACCGCAATAACGTTTTGGCCGGGTGGAACAAATTCTTTGTGGACAATACTCTTGGAATCATAAAAACAAATCAGCATTGTCTTCTCTTTTGACTTCTCCAGGCGCGATTTTTTGGGTCTCGGCTCATTTCTCATTTATGTCCTCACGATCATTTTGAAAACGTTGAAACCACTCGTGCACTCTGCTCTGATAGGCAATCATCGCCATAAACTTATTTCATCAATTGAAACGTTTCGGTAAAAGTTTTACCAATTTTAAAACAAAATTTAATGTTGGCTCTTTGTTTGAAGCTCATTTTCGCACCGATGACAAAAACATACTGGCACTTAAAACACAATATTTTCACTTCCAATAGATGAAATGTCATGAAATTTTTACTGGAAGCCAAAAAAGAATAGCAGATTCTAACGCACTAGTCGACATATAGATGGCGCCACTAGAGTTTACTTTGTTACTTTTGTACTGTTTACTTTGGAACGCACCTTGTAATTAACGAGAACACATTGATTTTTTATTTAATGAACACTAAGCTTGATCGAAATCAAGTTAGGCTACGTCTAAGGATAGGAGTCGTTTCGGAAGAATAGTCAAAAGAAGAAAAGGTTGATTCTGCAGATTTTAGAAGACATACACAGAGGTTTTTAATGCCATGTACAAAGTAATTGCCTTCGAAACATAAACGGGAGTCAAATCTTGAATAGAAAGAGTTAAAGAGCACACCTAGTGTGATATATGTATCAATAGTCTATGCCCTGAAAAATAGTATACTAAAGTTTTAAATCAATATTTTAAATATTTTTTGAGTTACAGTATTTTAAAGTGTAGCCGTCAATAGCCAATGAAGGCAATCAGTTTTATCTTTAAACGCGAAAGAACATTTTCCGAATTTGCTGCAGTGATTTCTGAATTTCTGTATATAGTTACAATATCCATACAATAACCTACTTTTTTCGATCTGATCAAAAATCGAATTTTATCAATTTATAATTTTTTTTCGATCGTTCGTAAATGAACAATATCATCTAGGAGATGTTTTTTAGTTTTCATCTACGGTATTCTGTATTCTTAAAATATGTATAATTATACCCTTAACATTTTAAAACAATAGATTTTTTTGAATTTAAAAAAAAATTACCATTTTAGACGTTCACAATAGATGTGCCACTTAAACCCACTACAATGTCTAATCATTAACACACATATGTGTGAACACTATTAAAAATACGAACATGTTTTATCCATTGTATTTTATACACATCATTTATCCTTCTCTCAGATGCTGCGCAAGGAATGTCAAACGCACGAAGATTTACAGAATTGCACCTGCACAATGCATCACATCATTCCGAAGACGCGCATACCACTCTATACAATCAATTGCAGTAATTTGCAATTTCGAACAATGCCCAGTTATATACCAGCAAATACAACAACAGTGTATCTCAATGATAATGAGGTGAGTAAATAGACTAAGAGAGTTAAAAATTTAAATATTATAGCAATAGTATTTGTATTTGAATAACAAAAAAGGTAATTTGAATTATAGGACTGACTATACAAGTATAATTACCATATTATTATTGTTTGCAAACATATAGAAATAATACAAAATATATTATTAGAAGGCGTATATTACATAGAAAATTTATTATAATTATAGGATATCGTTATGTTTTATAAATAAATGCTTACAGATCACGGACATATTGCCTTTACGCAACAATCCATATTATCGCCATGTAGTGGACATACATTTGGACAATAACCGCATTGAGACGATTGATGTGTTAGAAGGTGGCTATTGGTTTGAGCACTTTCGCTTGCTCAGTTTGCGCGGTAATCGAATGCAAAAGGTTAAGTTAATAATTCAATAAAATTGGTTCTAAAGAGAAACAAAAAAAAATTATTTAAATGGAAATTACTCACATAAGCATTTAATATTACTCTCCTCACCCCACAGTTACCCGTCTATGCACTCGATAACGCGTTGGACGACAATCTCGACGCGAACCTCTTACTTCTCAGCGGCAATCCTTGGCAATGCACTTGCATATTTACAATGCGTTTTCGCGAGATACTCCTGAAGTACAATGAAATAACGCGAGATGCCATAAATATCACGTGCACCTATAAAAACAGCAATCCGGTGCGTCGCGCCATTGTGCTCTCGCTCACACGTGAAGATGTCTGCAAACCGGAAGAGGAATCGAAAATATATCCGCTCGATATGCTTAATGCTGTGTTGGCCTTTCTTATAGTCTTAATCCTAAGTAAATTAGCTTATGACTACTATTACTATAAGAATTTTGGGCGGGTGCCATGGATTGTAATGAAGTTGCCATAAATGTGTTGTTCGAGGGAACGTACAATTCCTCTGATATGTTAAAAAATCTCCAATTTGTGATTAATTTAGGTTTTTAAGTACAAATTATATATATGTACTTATTGAAATGTGAACTTGAAACCCGTATGTGATTATTTTAAATATATTCTATGTGATGTACTTAATAACATATTAGAATGCCTTAGAGTAGCAATACAAGTTTAAAATATAAATTAAAACTGTTTTAAGTGAGAATCATCCTTATTATGAAAGGAACTAAGTGCTTAGCAATTGAAAAATAATTTTTAAATTAAAAACAAATCAATAAAGTTCAAATAACGTATTAAGTTTAAATTTAGTTTAAATTCAATTAATTCATCTCATATTTTCGATTTGAATTTGTACTTATCACTTAATTACACACACATCCACTCAAAAATTTATTTTCCGATTGTAATAATTATAAGCTTACTAAAAACGAATATAAAACAAAACAAGTAAGGAAGGGCTAAGTTCAGGTGTAACCGAGCATTTCATACTCTCGCAGCTTGCAATGATCAATGCCGGCGAAATAACGAAAATCATTTATGTTGTATATGGGAGTTTGGGTAATTCGTGGACCAATTTCACACATTTTCAGCATTAAACTATAATATATCCAATATTATATGTTCAGTTAAGTTTGATAAGATATCTTATTCATGGACTAATATATACGGTATAAAACCATGGAAGATAGATGTAGTTTTGACGCGGGATTATCTATTTTTGGCATTACGACATATTATTTACAGAAAAAGACGTTCTCTGTGTTTCATTAAGGATGTTTGAATATCCTGATATTAGTTATATGCTGGGGCAAGCCTTCACACGATTTTATCCATTTTATGCACAAAGATACATTGTTATTAGAAAAACACGCTTTTTCAATTACATTAAGATAACTAACATATTGGCCGATATTTGCTTTTGTATAAAGTCAGCCGGATGTACGAAAAATTGTTTATTAGGTATATGGGGACTAAAAAAATTATTGATCCGATTCAATCCATGTTTGTCACACGGGCATATTATTACCAGATGAGGACTCTCTGAGTTTCTATGATATATATAACATAGATTGACCGATGACCGATTGACTGTAACGTAGAAATGTCAGAATAATGCTACGTACTTGATTTGGTTGCAATCGGTTCAGCAACAAGATATGAGTTTTCACCTAAACGTGAACAGCAGCTCCTATAAAGCTCTATCCTATGATCCAGGGTGTAAAATTTTATGTTTCTGACGCATTTGTTTAATAAAAAAATATATATAAATCACACTTTTAGTACTTTTTAAAAGAACCGTTATATGGGAAGTGGTCGAGGTTATCAGGGATGTTGTAATCCGATAGTTGTCAGAATCAGAATTGAAATCAATAATAAAATAGGTGTCATGAATTCAGATATTATTGGTTTGACGTTAGAAATAGAAATTGTATCGGTTTTGGGTCTCACGAAAACCAATTTTATCGGTTTTGTTATCAGAAACAAAGCATGAGCAGCGACTATGCCAGATTTGAAATGTAATTTAAGAAAATAATTTATATTATTGTTACGATTTAATTTATCGTTATTTCTATTTGGGAGAACATAATTATTGAGTTTATGGAAAAAAATCCAAATATTTAAAAAGGATTTACAAAATGTAATCAACGTAATTTCACACCCAAATGCGTCTTTATTCAGTCGATAATGCGATATAAATCTGTAAAGTAAGCATTTATATAACATACAAGTAAATTGAGTCCAAATTTCACATCCAAGTAACCCATCAAGTGGGTTACTGTGATATTTTAATATCTTCCTTTCAATTTTTTCGTTGCTTTTTTGTTCCAATAAAATAAAAGCTAAACAAGTAAGAAAGGGCTAAGTTCGGATGTAACCGAACATTTTATACTCTCGCAAAGTCAAATGGTATACTCGTTTTAGATTTCTTTGTGGATTTTGCCGCCTTGTTCTATGTTGACCGATATTTTCGGTAAAAAGTCAACTATGGGCATTGGGGTCCACATATTCAGTACCTGGAAAGTGAAAAAATCAGATGGAATTTAAAATGATGTTATATGGGAAATAGGCGTGGTTGTATTCCGATTTCGCCCATTTTCATACTATAATATAGAAATATGAGAAGAATATTATATACCCAATTTGGTTGAAATCGGTTAAGCAGATCCCAAGATATGGATTTTCACCTAAAAGTGGTTCCTATAAAATCATCTTATACCATCCCAGCGATAAAATTTAATGTATCTGGCTTGTTTAGTGCTTGATTTATCGCACTTTTAGTAGTTTTTAACAGTACCGTTATATGTAGGGGGCGGGTTTATCACCCGATTTTACCCATTTTCACACCGTCGATAAAGATGCTAAAATAATTTGTTCCCAGTGAATTTTGTTATTATAGCTTCAGTGGTATAGGAGATATGCACATTAAATTTATAAGAGGGCGGGACCACGCTCACTTAAAAAAAAAATTAAACTGCAGATCCCTAATGTGATCCTGTATACCAAATAAATAAGAGTCTTGTATCTTGTTGTGGAGCTTAGTTATGGCAATTTATTTGTTTTTGAGTAATGGCATTTTGTGGGCAGTGGTCCGATTACGCCCATCTGCAATACCAACCGTCTTACGGTACCAAGAAACATGTATACCAAGTTTCATAAAGATATCTCGATTTTTACTCAAGTTGCAGCTTGCACAGCCGGACGAACAGACGGACGGGCGGACAGACAGTCACCCAGATTTCAACTCGTCTCTTTATCCTGATCATTTATATATACTCGTACTTAACCCTATATCTAACTCGATTAGTTTCACCCCTGTATAATCCGATTTCATCCCGTTTTGCAATTTTTTAAATTAAAAAATTTTTAGCCCACAGATGCCACTTGCTACTGCAATCCTCTGTGCGAAATTACGGCGAAATTACGTTTTATAATTTTTGTTTAGTGCAGATACATATGTCATTTTATATGTTTTCGTTTAATAGCGTTTTGTGGGCGTGACAATCGTCCGATTACGCCCATCTACGAACTCATCCTTAGTCGGTTCGTCTGACATCCGGATTTAAACTTGTCTCGTTATCCTGATCATTTATATATATATAACCCTATATCTAACTCGATTATTTTTAGGTGATATAAACAACTATATAAAACTATAATACTCTGTAGCAACATGTTGCAAGAGTATAAAAAATGTTGCGGAAGAATTTAACATTCATTGTTCGATGAAGTAATGAATGGGTTACAATCAAATTTAGTATTTGTTTAGGATTATTTACATTAATTTAGGTTTATTTTCGAATAACGCCAAGCCTGATGTGGCAATACTGTTTTATCTAAGATTTATATTTGTAATCTTTCTTTTACCATTCATTTCTCTTTATAAGTATCTTTGTTTATGCATGTTTAAAGTTACGGTATTTGTAATGCCGTTGAGCTCCGTTGAACTCCTATAAATGTCGGAGGACATGTGTGTACAAAGCTCTTTTCTGATTGTAAGTCGGTTCTGATTGTACTCTCTTCTGGTTTGGTGTTAAGCAGACCGTTCACAATCGTAAAAATCCCAAAAAAGCATTGAGAACTCTAAACGCTGGTAAATTAATTATTTAACACATTTTGGTGCCTCCTGTGAGAACAAATATTTTTTAATTTCATTTTGTAATTGCGGTTGTGGGGTTGCATGGCGGAGCTCAATTGGCGTTCATCAGCGGTGAAAGCAATAAAACGCATCAAAGCCGTACCTTAGGCGGCTGTTATATCGTACACTTACCCTTGCGACGAAAGGAAACGGAACTAGGTGACTCTTACGTACTCGCATTACGGTAATTTCATAGGCGTCGTATGGTTGCGGATCCAGTCCTTAAGGAAAACTACATTTCATTTATGAGGGAGTATACAGCACTCGGACACATGGAACGAGTACAACCACCTTACTATCATACCAATTGCTACTACATTCCTCATCACGTGGTCAGAACGAAGTTCCGCGTAGTGTTCAACGCTTCGGCACCTACCAACACTGGAATCTCACAGAACGATGTTCAACTAATAGGTCCAAAACTTCAGGATTCGCTGAGTACTATACTTTTACGTTTTCATTTTCCCGCGTTCAGACATCATTTCACGGGCTTAGCGATGATAGCTTACATGTTTATTTGAGCAAAGACCCAAACGGTTTGGTGCGTTTCACACTTCTGACAGCACGCACCAAGGTGGCACCACTCAAAACTGCTAACATTCCACGCCTAGAACTTGCGGCAGCGCTCCTTCTTCCCGAGACATGCCAGAACGTGCGAGATACTTTGGGATTAGTTGACGTTCCCTACTATCAGTGGTCAGACTCAGCGATCGTATTGTGTTGGCTGAAGAAGGATCCAGCAACACTTAAATCATTCATATCAAATCGGGTTCGTAGAATACAGGAGCTGACATCCTTCGCCCGATGGTATCACATTCGTTCGGCTCAGAACCCAGCTGATTGTGCCAGTAGAGACATCACACCCGCCGAGCTATTAGTACATCCCCTTTGGTGGCATGATTCTAAGGAGGACCTAAATCAACGCCGTTGATCAAGCTTTTACTAAAGCAGGCGTATGAGGTTACACGGCATGGAGGCACGCAACTCATGCTGCACACTTTTCGTCAATGATTCTGGATCCTGAGTTCCAGGCATGCAGTCAAGAGTTTCATCCCTAACTGCGCTATATGCCGCCGTCAAAATCCTGAGAGAAGTCCTGAAGCAACAAATGGCTTCCTTACCCGGGCAGAGGATCAGAGAAGCGAGGCCCTTCATCTCATCTGGTATCGATTACAGTGGGCCTTTCACACTACGAATCGGAACAAAACACTCATAAAGACGTATCTCCCAATATTCGTATGCATGGTCACCAAGGCCGTACACATTGAGATGGTTGATGACCTATCGGCACAGGCTTTTTTAGATACCTTTACTCGTTTCGTCAGCCGACGCGGCCGCTGTCGGAATTTATATAGTAATAATAGTACAGCCTTTTGGTGTCAACCGACTCTTGAAGGAAGATCTTGCCTGCCATGCTGATGGTGATAATACTTGTAATCAGCGATCGTTAGCAGATTCGGGCAAGCATTGCCATTTCATTACACCCTGGGAGGCTGCTGTGAAGTTCGCTAAGCATAATTTGACACGCTGTGTGGGTGCGCATGTCATGTGGTATAGTCAACTGCAGACACTGGCCGTAAGAATAGAGGCCTGTCTCAATTGCCGTCCTATTAAACCACTCTACGACGATCCTGAAGAGAAACTTTCATTAACGCCAGGTGATTTCCTGATTGGGTCGCCACTCCTAGCGGTCCCAGAACCAGATATCAAACTTATTCCTAGAAACCGGCTGAAACAATGGCAATGGATACGTCAAATTCAACAAGGATTCTGGGAGGGATGGAGTGAGGAGTATCTAACCATTCTGCAGACCGAACAAATAGTTTCAACGCACGAGGAATATAAGGGTGAACGATAACGTTCTAGTAAAACAAGAGAACCTGCCTCCCACTCACAGGTGCCTGGGTGACAACAATAGATCCCTGAGCTGAAGCAGTGGTCCGCAATGTCACGTTGAGAACCGCTAGAGGATACATGAAACGAGCCATCCAGAAACTATGTATATTGATTATATTGATAGAGAAGGAGGTTTTCGAGTCAACCGACTCGACCGGGCATTATGTTTAGGATTATTTACATTAGTTTAAGTTTATTTTCTAATAACGTCAAGTCTGATCTGGCAATACTGTTTTATCTAAGTTTTATATTTGTAATATTTCTATTATCATGTATTTCTTTTTATAAGTATCTTTGTTTATGCATGTTGAACTCCTTTAAATGTCGGAGGACATGTGTGTACGAAGCTTTTCTCTGATTGTAATTCGGTGCTGATTGTACTCTTTTCTGGTTTGGTGTTAAGCAGACCGTTCGTATTTTCAAACTTTTGGAGAAGGTGCTGAAAAGATTTGCCCTGAGGAAATTTGGTTGATTTAGCTTAATTAGTTTAGGAGATATGTACATTAAACCTATTAGGAAGCGGGTAAAAGAGCACATCTGAAAGCTTAAAAAGTTATCATTCGATGGCGACAATTTTTGGCGTAAGATGCCATGCCCTCAGGGCACTTTTTCACTATTGGTGCTTGCTTCCTTTTTTTGGACCTTATACATTGGATCATATATTTAGTTTTATCTTCATTGATTTTGAGACCAATTTGGCCAGCGGCCACTTCAATATCAGCGAAAGCTTTGGACAGGGCGTGGATGGTTTTGCAAATTACGAGTCTCAGTGGTCTATAACATTATATCGAAAAACAATTTTGGTGAGCAATGCTGAGAATTTTTTTTGTAGTACTGATGAGAAAGTCCTAAATAAAAGTACACTAGTCATACAGAGGTGACATAAAATATATAGAACTTTACAAATACCAGATCCAGCTTATGTTAAGGTCTTGCCAATTTATTCTTATTATTTATTACAATTCCTATCTATTTAAATAATAAGATAATAAATAATATATAAACGTGAACAGCAGCTCCTATAAAGCTCTATCCTATGATCTAGGGTGTAAAATTTTATGTTTCTGACGCATTTGTTTAATAAAAAATTATATATAAATCACACTTTTAGTACTTTTTAAAAGAACCGTTATATGGGAAGTGGTCGAGGTTATCAGGGATGTTGTAATCCGATAGTTGTCAGAATCAGAATTGAAATCAATAATAAAATAGGTGTCATGAATTCAGATATTATTGGTTTGACGTTAGAAATAGAAATTGTATCGGTTTTGGGTCTCACGAAAACCAATTTTATCGGTTTTGTTATCAGAAACAAAGCAAGAGCAGCGACTATGCCAGATTTAAAATGTAATTTAAGAAAATAATTTATATTATTGTTACGATTTAATTTATCGTTATTTCTATTTGGGAGAACATAATTATTGAGTTTATGGAAAAAAATCCAAATATTTAAAAAGGATTTACAAAATGTAATCAACGTAATTTCACACCCAAATGCGTCTTTATTCAGTCGATAATGCGATATAAATCTGTAAAGTAAGCATTTATATAACATACAAGTAAATTGAGTCCAAATTTCACTTTTAATATCTTCCTTTCAATTTTTTCGTTGCTTTTTTGTTCCAATAAAATAAAAGCTAAACAAGTAAGAAAGGGCTAAGTTCGGATGTAACCGAACATTTTATACTCTCGCAAAGTCAAATGGTATACTCGTTTTAGATTTCTTTGTGGATTTTGCCGCCTTGTTCTATGTTGACCGATATTTTCGGTAAAAAGTCAACTATGGGCACTGGGGTCCACATATTCAGTACCTGGAAAGTGAAAAAATCAGATGGAATTCTATCTATTTAAATAATAAGATAATAAATAATATATTATTTTTATTATTACATATTACTTGCAGTATTATTTATTATTATTCCTACCGTTCCCATTTAATTTCTTATACAATTTTGTTTTAAATAAATAAATCTTCAATACAATTTTTGTATAATCCATAGGGTTGAGTTTTTAGCTTTATTTATCAAATATCATTATTAACTACGTCAATGTTGGATTATTTTATTATGAACAAACATTGTTTTGTTACTTATAAAATTAGACACGCAAGCAAAAAGCCAAAATAGACATACATAAATATATTTAAAATTACATAATTAACGATAGGGCTGTTACATAAATATGTTTGTAATTAAGTCAACAATTGGTATTCTTAAGAAGTCATATAAGTGTTCAAGCATTTAAGTATAGAAAATTATAGCGAAAACATTGCACTTCAATATTGCGTTGGCTGCTTTTGCTGGCTGCTAAGGACTATTGCTAACTATTTATTTTTGTGTATTTTATAAGTTTTTCGCCTGTTTAATTTTTATTTATTTAATGATGTTTACTTCTCTCTGCCTCACTATCTACTTTCGCCTATGCTCTGATTATTGATGTCGTGACAATAGCTGAAACGAAGAGCTATTTTGGCCTATATAATATACCATATAAATTGTATATATATAATCTCACATATATGTATATTTAAACAAACTTGTGTTAGAAAATTGGGCTTATTTGAAAGAAAGGAGCTGCCATTTTGGCAGTTTTATCTCTTGATATAAAATATAATAAAATTCAATTTAGTTATAACGAAAGAACAAACAGTTTCTTTAAGTCGTTTAACTTGAATCATCGACAGTTTGCTTTCACATTTTTACCAAGAAATAAAAAAATCTTTCAACTATGTCAAGCATAATTTTGTACTGTAGCAACTGTTTTGGTGATGTCACATTAGCGATTCTGTACAAAAATTTACCGTTACTTGTCATTCTTTACTGTTTGCAGAAAGAAACAATGGCATTGGCTACAATAGTTTACCATTATTTTTAATTGTTGCCCTCAGAGCGACACTTAAAAAATTATTTTTTTTTTTACTGAGAGCCAAATATGGCTAATAAGCGATTTGTGATAAAAGTAATGAAACGTGTTATTTTCAATAATAAAAAAAAGGCGCTAATTGAAATTAATTACTTCAGATTTCTCTCGCGGAAAGCCACAAATAGGTTCTTCGTAAAATTTACGATTGAAACTGACATTTTATGAGTTTTATACCACCACTGATCACAACTATAGTCTAATCTTTTAGTTTACGCATTTTATTTTTTCTATCTTTTATTTTAATTTTTCTTTCTGTTAATAATTATGTACTTACAACTAATTGCACGGCTTTTGGACAAGCAATGAGCTTTAGTGATGATAATGAGCATGTTTATGATATGAGTTGTTACATAATATCCATTATATAATTTGTTGGCAAAGATTAGTTATTTATTTGTAAAAGATAAATAAGAAAAATATGAAGAAGTTCTCGCAGCACTTATTCTTTTCTTTTATTTAAATTTCAGCGCAACCATTACACAAGAAATGTTCCGCAATTTGCTTCACACCAAATATACATATGTATTACCACATGCCTTACTATGTTTATTGTATACTCCACTGGATTCCATATGCAATAAAACTTATACAATAACTATTTAATATTAATTGAATGAAATGGAATGGAATGTGTAATTGGCACGTTAAATCTTCTGCATTGTCATATCTTATTTATAAAATATATATTTTTGCATGTATGTGGGTATGTGTTTGCAGTAAAAACCTCTCAAAATCATATCTTGAGATGCAAACGGTATATTGCGACGCAATATTTGTTGTAAGTCCTCTTTTTATGCAAAAAGCATTAATGGACAATTTCAAGGTACAAATTTCAAGCTAAAAAACAACATTCGATTCCTCATCTCTACCCCTACTGCACATAATAGTTTATAATACAATAAGAAAAGAAAAAATTTGTAGAATCATTGCAGAAAAAAGCGACACATATTATAAGTATGTTTCTATTAGCGTAAAGGAGTAAAAAAATTGCTAAAAATCTTAGTCTATAGTTAACAAAATTTTAAACTATATAGATTAAACTTAAGTGTAGATATTTAATAATCATATAAATATATAGTACGTATACTAAAAGAAAATGCGTAAAATTTTTCAGAAAGCGATTGTACAGCTGTCGCTTAATTGGAGATAACATTAGAATAATATAAGTACAAAAGGCTGAGGAGAGTTTTAATAAAGAAAGTATACCCTTAGGCGCTGGCGCGTATGTCTTTCTGATGATGTTTAAATAATTCTTTTAAACTGTGAGTATTTTAGACAAAATATTTTGTATCTAGTTAGAATTCCCAGCGCTAGGATAGTGGCCCACTAATGAGTTTAAGTGAAACATATTTTTGTTGTTGCTGAGTTTACTGCTATTACATAGTAAATCTAATCTAGTGTTTCTGAGTATCACTACTATAAAAATAAATTTAGAAAACATATTACATGAATACACACAATATTTTGCTATCTTACTTTCGCAAAAACGTTTGTCGAATTTAAAATAAAATGTATGAATGATCACGTTCCAGATGTGTTTTGGCGCGCATCGCTACATTGCCCATGGGATCGGAGGGTGGCGGTATGCCGTTGGTGGAATGTGCGGCTTCTTTGTAAAAGAATTCAGAACGACCGGACTTGTAGCCGTAGTAGACCGCATCGTGTGATCTAAAAAACAGTTACACATATCTTGGTTAATTAGGTTTATAGAAAGGCTCTTTATATTCTGAAGATGTGTGGGCTGAGCCGGCAGACCCATGCCCTTTCAAATGACGAAAGTGATTTTCTCAAATCTTAGCTTAGAGGGTCGGGCAAATTTATTGTTGTTGTTTTAATAATGATACTCGTAAATATATACATACAAACATCCGAAGCGTTCTTCTTTTTTGGATATGGTGAGTGTACGTCATAGAGACTTCCTGTGCGACCTCATAACGGTCACGCAGCAGAACTACCATAGCAAAGCGATCAAAAACGACTCCCAATTGTGGAACAAGTGATTATTTTCTTGACCTTTCGGTAGAACACAAAACACCAACTAACTAATAACACTAGAGTTCAGCTAGGAAATATCTGTGTTATCTCAATGACTCGAAGAGACTAAACATCTTATCTTTCGCCCCTCGGATTTAGTGGCCACCGAAACCTTTGGCTATAATAAATGAAGCTTAGATTAAGTAGAAATCGAAATCTTACTGCTATCGCGACCACGGTAGAACCGGAAGGTAAACCTTACATCAAGTGATAGGACCATGCACAAAATGCGCAGAAAGTAAGAAAGGGGTGTCGGCCACTAGAGTCACATTTATCTCAAAAGATCACTTGAAAAGTATTAAAGCTATATTCAAAAGCACTCAAATTGACAAATTTTTATTTGTCATAGTTGAAAAGTTATCACTTCAAGTCCATGGTTTCAAAAAAATTTTTTTCGTTGACCTTTTGTAGGCGGACGTTGTGTAACATAACTTCTAGGATGCTATTATTTACAAATATAGACATGAAAAGTTTAAAACAATTATAAATTTGAAATTTTTTAATTTTCGTATCATAAAATACAATAACTATGAGAAGTTAAGAGTAACAGCTCCCTGTCCACTAATCCACAGAACATAAACTAAATATAGACATATAACGGTTCTATAGTCCGTTATTAGTAAAAGTTAGCAAATTAGTGCATACTTAGCAGACACTTGGCGATTTTAAAGAAATTAAACTATTTCAACTTCATCGAAATTGAATTCAAAAGCACTGGGCATTATTTACCTTAAAATCAAGTCAGAGATCTCATTGTTCGGTTGCAAATCATGATGCATACATTCGAGCGTATTCAATTCCATCGGATTCCATGGTCCATTACGCTCCAACGTGTCCCATTTCGCATCGATGCTCATGAAACTGTAGGCGCCGTCACGCTTATCGCCTTCCACATTGACATTGAGTGTTTGATTTAAATGCGATTCCATATGCGGAAATTTCGCAACGCAAATATCGAACTGGAAAAGCATAAGAAAATATTAATTTAATGGAGTAGAGAAATATATACAGATGCTAGATTAAATATTAAATTATTTTCTTACAATAAAATATTATTAATAATTTCCAAAATATTTCGAAAACGCCTCACTTACCATCTTCTGCACAACGGGCTGCTGGCGCGCCGTCCCCTCCTCCATCAGCAACAGCAGCGTCATATTTTGCTGCCCACACATGTACAACTCTAGCCGCTTTAGACCATTTCTTGCAGACTGTGTGCTTATAGGCAATGCCGCTAAGGCATCCACTGCGTCGTCACATATCAAAGAGTTGCGACGGGAGAATACTTTAGACGTGTTTAGGGGTGTTTGTATTTCCACAGCGTTGGCATCCCAAACGCCGCTGCCATTGTGCTCCTCATTCAGCGCCAACACAGAGAGTTTGGCCATGAGCGGTGTGAGTGGAACACCACCAGTATGCTTACGATTCGCTATAACAAATGGCAGTTCACGCTCATTGCTGCCTGCTACATCGGCGAGTGGCTTCAGTGGAAGACTAAGTGATTTCTTGTCAAGTGGTGTTTTCGCTTTTGTCACTACAGTGGTTGGTTCAGTATTCAAGTTGCGATCGACTTTGAGTTGTGTGCTATTGCAATTATCGCCGAGATCCTGACGACCCAGCGATTCGTCTAGTTTTTTAAGTTCCTTATCGAACTCCTTGAATTCCTCAATGAGTTGTGCGATTTCTACCTCCTTTTTGGCGCTGCCAGTACTGCTGCCATTATCCGCCCACAAGCGGTAATACTTTTCTATGAACTCTTGGAAGAGGCTACGTGATATTGGCTGACCATTCTCATTGAAAACGGGATAGGTGGGATCGGTTATGGTGCGGGATGTGTGATTGTTCTCATCAGAGTTGTCGGAATTTTGCTCCGCTTCAACATCATCGTCATTCTCGATAAAATCAGGAGATTCCAGGGCCTCAATGCCGCTTGTGCTGCCATTGCGATTGACGTCAGTCTTAAAGCTATGCGAAAATTGTTTGAGTGACAATTTCTTCGAGATCTTCTTGAGTGAATCTTGCAGGTCTGTGAAAGAGTTGCGGCGCTCCATTTGCTTATTGGGATTAGCAATGAAATTTTGAAAGAATTTCTCAAAGTCGAATTTTAGCGAACTGCGTCGGTTGGTAGCTTGTGTTTTCTGCTTATTCGAGTTACTCTCGTCCTGCCAAATAATATAATTATGTATATTTAAAGAATTTTCTTTTTCTAACGCAATTGTATACTCACTTCTGGATTAGCACAGATGGACATAATGTTCCCCACTTGCAGCACTTTATTCTCAGTCATTGGTGTAGAGCACACACTAGTGCGTCCAATAAACTCCGGATACGAATCGGTCTCATCGAAATTTATCGAAGCAATACCTGATTCAGGCAACTCCTTTGAACTGCTCATACCGTTGCGACTACGAAGAGGTAAGTGTGTGGGGCGTATCAGCAATGATTTAGGACGTATTCCAGTGAGTGTTTGGCTAACAACCGTTGTAACGCCGACAACTTCTTCCGCAAGTTCACCTGCAATACCGCCGCCGGTGCTGCTCTCCTCTGGTATGTGGGTAAAAATTAATGATTTATCGCGTTTCAGTTTACGCTTCGCATACTGAAACGGAAACAAATTCTGTGACAGTTGTGTGGTCTGTAGAGTTTGTGCGCGTTGCGCGTCTGCTGCTAAATGATTATATTGTGGCACATCCACATAAACAACTAACATTTGTACACCGTTAGGTATGTGAAAATCAGTGAAGTGTATCTGTTCGGCGGTGGTGCGTATGTGCAGCGGATCCGTTAAAACAAGCTGCTTAGTAATGGTATTGCCGAGTTGGGAGGCAACCACTCTGGAAATGAATAAGATTGATGTATGACAGTTTAACCAAAAAATCTGCAATATGAATATAACACTACACACTTGTTATGGTAAAGTACGGCGCCGCCCAATATGCCCTTGGTCTGCTGACAGCACTGTAATGTTTGTATGGCGTCCAAAAATATATTGCTGGCCGTCTTCAAGCAAATTAGAAGGGTTAATTAATCAAATAACAAATGTTATGGCAAAATTACAAACCTTCGGCATACGCAGTTTGGGTACGTTTTGGAAAATATGTCCGTTACGTTGTAAAATCGGCAGATATGTTTCGAAAATGTGATATAGCTTTTCGGAGAGATTCTTATACTGCGCTTGTTGAGGAAACTGATCGAAGAGACTTTGCAGATCGCGATGGAAGAATTTCACAAGTGAGGCAAGCAAATCAGCACGTTTTTCTAACAAATAATCTGAGATGTTGCGGTCCGTGCCAACAGCCTAGATATCCATAAATTTAGTAATTAAGGTAAATAAATTTCAATTTGCTGAAAAAGCCACTAACCAAAGTAAATCTCCCAAATTCCTTCAGTACAAATTTACCGTTTTGTAAAGCCATCATTTTTGGCTTACAGAAACAGTCCTTAAGGAAGTACGATGTACCCATTAGTTGCCCACAAAGCGCGACTTTCTGTGTGTCTGATACCCAACTCGGGTGAAAATAGAGCACTGCTTTTACTGGATCATCTGCTTCGTCCTTGAGACACTCTGTGTCGTAGACGAAGACAATCATCGTCTCCCTGTAAATATTTCAAAATATTTAGTTGCATCTCTTTAAACAACTAATAAAACAATTGCTTTTAGCCATCGACTTTTAAACCGACAAAAGCACCTTTCCTCCTTGCTACTTCTTTTGGTACGCTCCAGTTTAGGCCAACGAAACCGTTTAGGCTTACGGAAACCACTGAACATATTTATATTATTGTTTTCGAAAACTGTGTTAAGCCAACAGTTTTATAAAGGCGTTAAAAACAACAGAGTTTGATAGACTTTAATAGCTTTCCCGGATTTGTGGCGTTGGCATATTAGCACAATCGCTACTAAATGGGCATTTATCAACATAGTAGTGATAAAGCATACTTGCTATTTACAACGCTACAGCACGTCACCAAAGTAAAACTGATAACACTGTCACTACTGTTAGTCCCATAGCTACCTCTCATGTCATAGCAACTAGTATCACGATGGCTGAAATACAATTATGTTTGTCTCCAAACGCATTCTTGACATATAATCAGTAACACAGTAGTAAATATAAAGTACATTAAATCACCATTTACAAAACTGTATTGCTACTACCAGACGGAGAGTCTTCAGCTAATTGAGCGTATTTGAAGAGTCATGGGAAATAGTAAGGCGTGTTCGCATTATTGTGGGGTGGGCGAGGTAAACAAATAGCAATTAGCCGATTGAAATATGAGAAGACATGAGAGTAAAATTGAATGAATAAAATGTTTGTTCGTTTAAGTTGTTATTGTTATTGCGGTTGAGTGTGTATTATACTAGAAATCCACTGTGGATTCGGATATTTGAACGTTGTTATTGCAGCTGTCAGTATGGATGCACTTAAATATGTAAACACAATTATAATGTGGGTGTATAATAAACATCAAAGCGAAGCATTATAAAAAGGAAATGGTGAAAAATAGGTGGGGCAATCGCAGTGCATATATTTGAGAAAATATTTCGCTGGTAATTCTTCAGAACAACGGCTTTTCTGAAAAAATTGTCCAATTATTTTGAAAAATATCCTTACCTATTTTTTTATTTTAGCCGGACCTTACCTTAAAAAAACTGAATGCACCCTATTTATCGGTCAATAACATTTAAAAACACACATTTAAAGACATTTTTCAAAAAAGTTTTATCATTTTTTCAGAAAAGTCGCGGTTCTAAACATTTATCATTTTGCTATATGGTACCTAGCGTATATGGTGTACATAAATGTATAGTAACCTTATCTGGATGTAAGAGAAGACATAAGTATATTTTTCCACAAAAGAAAAAAACCTATTGGACCTATGTACATAAATATATGCAAGCCCATTTGTTTAAACAACCACTTTTAGTATTGATATAGTCGTTTGATAATTTTCCAATCAAAAAATCATCTTTAACAAGGTGTGTGTATGGCAGGTCACCATCCCATCACTATGGTACCGTCGTTATTAATAACACATAACATACATAATCACTTACTTGGCCATACTTATAGATATGGATCTCCACAACTCTTCACAATTAGCAAATCTTTGCCTACTGCACTTTTAATGCAAATACATTAATTTAAATTTAACATATTTAAAATTGCAGAATATTTTTAGTACTACAGGAATTTTTAATTCTAAATTCCACTGCACGACTGGACGATATCAAAGAAGTTGGAATTTTCCTTATCAGTGCCACTTCTACTTATCCGAAATGTCAAAATTCATAATTTATCGATTTTTAAGTTACAAGTTGAGTACCACTGTTGTAATGCAACAGTAAATTAAAAGCTGTTGCGAATAGTTCACAGTTGTGGCGAATTAACTGGTATAATATAAAATATAATGAACTTTATTATATAAAAAACACTTAAAAGAAATAAAGCTATACAACTCCATTACATAACAAACTTAATCATAGAAGAAATACTTATTAACTAATGGTGATTTATTGAGTTCACAAAATATACCAATTGTCGCAATGTGTAAATATTTTTACTGCACATGCAACTCTGTGTGATATTTATTCTCACCCTGGCGGCTGGGCAAATTCATCCACTTTATGTATACATACAGAAGGCACAGAGAGCGATTTCAGCTATGGCCACCGACGCACTCAAGTGAATTAAATTGTGCTAAAGATTTGTGTTTTGTTTATTTGTTGTTTTAAATTAATTAATATTTTACAATTTTCTCTGATTTTTGGTGAGTTTAAAGTGCAATTAAAGCTTTGAGAAAGCAAAATACCAATTGTAACTGTGCTAATTAGTGGAAAAAAACCAGTTAAAATCGCAGGAAATTGGGACTCATTACCCGTTTTCCTATTTTCTTCGAGCTGCTTGTACTGGACGCTGCAATAAAACGTATATAGAAGTGCATATGTGTGTGTTTTCGCTATAGTGTCGTCGTTTTTATTTGTGTGAGTGTCAGTTTGTGTATATACTTCTTGTTGTAATTCAAACAGGTTTTGCTGGAGTACGCTACTGGCAAACATAAAAACCAAAAACAACAATCAAGCATGGTGTAGTGTGGGGCAACAGAAACAACCAGCGGAGTTAATGTATGCTTAAAAGAAGCAACAAGAAACAAGAAGAGAAAAAATAACGTCAACACCGTAGCTACAACGATATTATTGACGACAGCTACGACCAGTTGACAATGTTTGTGGTGTTGGTATTACTTTTGTGTATATTGAACAGAGGGGGGCAAAGCGATGTGAAGTGACAAACCAAAGAAAAACAAAACTTGTCATAAGTGGGGCCACAGGTGAATTGGAGTGGATTGGTTTAAGGCGGGACCCACACGCTCTTCTCGTTCGATAACTCATATGAGAGCGTGTTTTCTCGTCGCTTACTTATTAAATTGTTGACTGGCTCACTAGCTGTGGCATCTATTGAACAGCAGCATACAGAACTTACAAAGAAAAAAATAGAAGAGTTGAACAAAAAACAATTAATGAAACTATTGAATAAACTAGTATCGAAGACAAAAGGTATAGAAGGAGCCAAGTTTATTGGGTTCTGTGTTGGCGGTAGTGTTGAGATACCGCAGCCGCGGTAATATTGGAGCAACTCTAAAAGTGGCAATAACCACTGTGTGTATAAAAAACTAGTGACTGGTGCTTTAAACTTATCGTGTTTGCATTTTACTGTTATAACCATTTTCTACGTTTCAATGGTAGTTGCGACGTTTTGTCTATCAAAGTAACTACGAAATGTGTGGTTGGCAAACTTATATAATTTATTAACTGCACACGTTGCTAATTAGAGTACAATTTTATACATATCAAGTTATAATGGTTTATAGATACTATCTATAATGATATTGTATAAACAGTTGCATTAGTTGGTGTTTTAAATTATGAGAAAATTACTCATATTGACCAGACAGTAACTCTTCAGTCTACGTTTTTTTTGCTCTAGATATTATTCACACAATATACCTATGTATGTAAATAATGTGTACTTACATTACTTATTCACACACTTGCTGCAGATCGTCAACTTTCATGCTGCTCTTTGTGCTGTAATTTTTGTGATTAGAATTTTTATCAATTAGCGGATGCGCGAACGTGTCATGTAGCGTATTTCAAGTACACAATAACTACATATGCAGAACGTTGAGCCCGAATTTAGGTCTTGAAATTTACATACTATGATACAAATTTACATATTTCATTCATGGTGTGGGGAAGAAGCAGAGCACAGCATCTTGTCGGTACCTTATCTAGTCAGAATATTATGTGTGGGCGCTGGCAAATATGAATGAGCTATACAAAGTATGTGCATCATCAAAGCATGATCTTACTATCTTGAAAATATGTTAACATATATACGGGCAAACTTTTATATGTGCTCACGTATACAAATGTAAGTCAATTAAAATGGATACAGGAATTTTGTGATCATCAGTATTCTATTAAGTGACGTTTGCGCATTCTATATGTAGTTATATATGATGCATTGAAAACACCTGTGTATTTGAAAAAATTTTGGTTAATAATTCAATAATTAGTTAACTATTAATTGAGTGATTCACATGGAGCACGCGCATTTATAAAGGCAATCATTATTGACACATTGTATCATTGTGTGTATGTTAATCGCATTAGGCGTTACTGCGCAAATTTATGTTCATATTGTTCTTATTAATCCTTCATAAACATATCTCTGTATGTACAGAAATCGATCCGAAATAAGCCACCAATAAGTAGGAATACTATCGCAATTTTCAAAGATCCAAGCTGGTGTATATTTTCAGATGTTGGCAAAAAAGAGGCTACATTTAATATATGATAAAAATACTCAACCAATCGAAAGTAATTTTATTAGGAATATGAAGTTTAGAGTAAGGCCTAGACCAATTTCCTTTATATTAAACCACATTATGTTCATAAAATCCACCTAATTTCATTACATTATCTCACATTTGAATTAAAGAACATGAAAATCATTTAAAGTCAGATGGATTTAAATCAATATATCGCGTATATTGGTGCTAGGGTTAGATCTGGACTGTTTGCATTAACTTTTCCCATTACTCATGTATACTCGATAATGTGTTTCTAAGCAATTTCCACACAGGGATTGTATCGCCACACTAGCACCCAGCAGAATTTTGGAGTTTATCAACATGCTGGGCCTAGATGATTCGATATGACTTAGGGGAGGGCACAATAGACCATAGGTCGCGGTGCATACCTCAAAATTAATCTATCTATCTATCTTCTAAGCAATTTTATGACTATATGTTATACTCTTTCCGACATATTCGACATAAATTCTGCTGGAATAAAGAAATTTACTATTATATATATAGTATATGAGAGTTGGGGTAATTGCTGGACAAATTTCACATATTTTCGGAATTAAATTGTAGTGTAGCCAATATTATACGTTCACTTAAGCTTGCTAAGACTACTTACGGATTGATCAATATATTCGGTATAACCCCCCTGGAAGTGTGAAATTCTTTATACTAGGTATATGGTCCCGGGGGGTAGTATTAGACACATTTTTAATAATTTTTAGCAGAACGGCAATTTATTACCAAAAAAGATGATCTCGGCCAAGGAAGTACTCATGCGATTTGACCATTTTTGGCACAATGACACTATTATCGAAAAAAATTTCTATCCCAATTTCAAATTCAGAATGCAAATTTTTGTTCGGTAAAGATCAGCTACAGACACGAATGTTCGGATATTCGGTATCTGGGGGCTTGATAGATGATCTTCCGATTCTGGCAATTTTTTAGCAGAGATGGCCTATTTTAAAATCACTGTTTGTTCAAAGTTCATTTTGTGGTCGTAGCATCTGCAATACCAACATCTCTTGGATGCTAAGGAATGGATAAAATCCGGTATCAATTCCAGTAATATGGAACCGATAATTAGGGGAATTGGAACTCTTCTCGTCATTTTCAGAACATTTATATGTGTATATAAGTATAACTCGTGAATCTATTCCCAGTTTTAGACGTTACCAACAAACGGTAGGTGAACAAAACTATTTTACTCTCTGTTGCAACATTTTGCGAGAGTATAATATATATGTACAATAAAATATAAAATTAATAATAATCATAATTAAATAATTTTTCGAGAAAAACTAATTTTTTGCGAATTTAGCCAAAGTATTTTTCTATATGTTTGTGAATAAAATAAAAAAATTTGGCATTGAAATTTTCCATAAGCATTTGCAATTTATTTACATTAAACTTTTGCTAACACAAACATTTGTGCTATATAAATTAGCTGGAAAATAAATGGAAACTCACTAGTATGTACCGGGTAAATTAAATGTAACGTTAACGCGGGAAACTAAATCAGAGAAGATACTTCGTCTATTTTTCTATATAGAAAAAAAGATATAAAAATATTTTAAAACAGCAACCGATACAAAGAGATGAATTTTTATTTCCTTAAAGGAAAGTAAGAATAACGTTATCACGCTTCTTTCCACAGCGCTAAACATCTTCAAACACCGATGAAAAGCCATAACATTTAATATTACTATTACATTAAAATTTTTTTATTTTACAATTTATCTACCACCTAAAAGCGTAAAAGTGTATGAGTCATGCCCCAGTTCATTGTGGTATGGAATATGTAACTTTTCTTCATTTGTGGTTGTTTTATTTTCCTTGGGTTGACTATTGTTAGAGTGTTGGCGTTGTAAAACGAATTTTGGTACGAAGCATTTGCTATCGATGGCAATAATAATTGTCGACGTTCGAGTGCGAAACAATAGCCTAAACCATGACAATACAAAAGTTTGTGCAATTGACACTTTTGAGAGTTTTGACATTGAAAATCATTACTATTATTTATTATGTATTGTAATTAACTTTCAGTTAGTGCTATGTTAGAATATTTTCTTTAAACTCATTTTCGACGTATGCGCAAAGAGTGTACAGTGATTTGTTTCAATTTCATTGGAAAATAAAATAATCAAATCTACATTAAAAAATTTTTTTTAAAACAGGTGTGAGTAAAAATTAGGCCTCTATAAATTATGCAGCATATGCATCTATTACCAGAAGGGTCCATAAGTGGAGCATGGTATCTACATACATATGTATGTTATGTATATATGTACATACAAAAATAAATAAAAATAAACGCACAAGTGGAGTAGTTTGATAGGAGAACAAAAAAGAAGGAAGTGTAGAGATAAAAATTATGTATAAACGCATTCCCCCAGACATTTACATTGCATTGATTTGTAGAGAAAAGTACATATACTCATCCGCCAAGCTTAATTATCCATATTTTCACACACGTTTTAAATAAATACTTTGTATACAACATATATGTGCAGTACATTTCTTTTTCTGTTTGAGCTGTTTCATATGGCAATCAAGTAAACATAATAGGTATTTGGTTCTATTGTATATATGTACTCGTATGTATATGTATATATTTTATTTGTATAGATTTTATATCGGCCACATTAAAAAGCAAATATTTGTGTTGAGAAGTTAAGTGCTAAGAAACTGAACTAGTGAGAGTTGAGCCAATTTTTTGGCATTTACACATTTAGTAATTACACTTTTAAATATTTTATCAGGAATTAGTGAAAAATTAATGTTTTTATTTTTAAAATAGTTTCGAATTGTATTTTTGTATAATTATTTTATTATGTTCGAAGATCCAAAACTTACTTTAATTATTGGTAAACTTGCTTGAGCGTCTTGGGTTAAGTCAAAAGTCATATTGTATAGCCAATGCATATAATATTATTTTATAAAATATACTTTATATACATACAAACATATACATATAATCTTTACTTTAGTACATAAAATATACTATTATTTCCTATTACCCACTGTTCGTAAGCCTTTTTCATGCATCCGCTTGGCATTTTTCGGAATACCACAAATCATCGGATAACATTGAATTTTTATTGTGAAAAGTGGAAAATACCGCCATGTAATCGTCACATGCGAACCATTCAAATCTCAAAGTAACATGCTTGATGTCATCAACAACAATGTATACGGGCACATTGGCATTTCTCTTATTGACTTATGTTAGGGGCGAAAATATTTACTGCTACTGTTGTTGTTGTTGCATTTGGAAAGCAAAGAAAAAGTCAACTCGACTGATTATTGTTGTCACTACCGCTGCCGGGTTAGTATATCAATTCTGTCTAGCTGCCACACCGAGTGGCAGTCTGCTTGGTTATTTTGGTGCAGTCAACAGACAAGCAAATTCACATTCATTTCTTTTTCATTCCTTTTCTCGCTAATAATCAGCAGTTTAAGTGTGGGAAAATGGCAACGATTGACGACTAAAGCCGACTGCTTTGTTTGTATTCTAATTTTTACTAAGCATTTGTGTACATACAGTACTGTATAGTGTTGTTGTTTGTGTAATTAGTGTCCTTTGCATAGCATTTTCGAATATTTACATACACCGCTTGTCAACGCTGTCAAAGTCACGTTTTTCTTAGGAAAAAATGGAACAACAATTGAATAGGACGATTTATTATTTTATTAGTTAGGGTGCAAAAAGCGAATCGTAATATACACGATTTGAAGGAAAACACGGTACGTGCTTTCCAATAAATTTTTCCAATTTTCTACGAAATCTGTCATCACATGTGTGTGGCGAGTGAGAGGTTGCAAAGTATAAGGTAGAAAGGGCATTCAAAGGACACATTTCCTTGTGTGCGCATGAGCGCATATATGCACCATCTGTGCACGCGCCTTATAATACCTGTTCTACTGGACAACGACAAGAATCACCAATTTGACAACCTGGTTAACTGCTGCGAACATGTATGCTTTATTTCGGGCTTGCGAAATTTTTTTTGATTTCCGCACGTACGCTCTACATATGAATTTTGCACCGAACCTAATATCTAATGCATAATATCTTTCAGCGCAGCTCATACTATAACATAGTTGCGACTTATTCTATAGCTACACATTGTTTTATTTATTAATGCGTTTTATTTCTTTTCTGTCTTGCAGGTATTTAATTTCCATTGTGTTGAGCGTACTAGAAGCGCACAATTAGTGCTGCTGCTTAACAATCAGCCGTCGTGAGCGTGTGTGTAAGCCTGGAGCACAGGTCCAGACCACCGTCACAACACAGGCCGTGTGCCTTTGCCATTTAGTTTTTCTTGCTTGTGGCGTACGTATGCAAAAAAGTTTGCTGTGCTCGTTTTCAGTGTATGATGTTAACCGGGAAATATGTGTCAATTCTCAAGCAATAATAGCTGCAGTAAATAGCAGTGCCGGCAAAGCGTTTAACGCCCACCGACTCCTATACACACATTGAGCTGAATTTTAAGCTTAACAATAAACTAATTACATATTACGATTAACTGTGCACAATACATACGTACATCTACGAAGTTTTGTCTGCTGAGCCAGCAATAGTAAGCAATCGAAAGTATCGCTACCGTCATACCATATAACAAGAAACAGTGCATACATTCATCTATATAACAATAACAATATAATTATCATGGATACAATGCAAAAGCTGCAACAGAAGCCTACAACTAAAAGCGTGTTTGCCATTAAAACGCTAATTAGCAGCGGCACGTTATGCCTGCTGCTGTTATTGCCGCATGCCGTACACGCTTGGATGCCCGATGTGCGCCCAGATTTGCAACCAAGTAAGTGTGATGGTGCAGTTGATTAACATTTCCGTTCTTTAAACTCAATTTTAATTACACATACACATTTAGATGTATAATTATATGCATTCATTTTATAATTTGCATTTTGTATATTATTCTTATCTCCTACCACCACTGCAGAGCAAGATAAAATCATTGCCAAGTTCCTGGGCAACAGCACGGATTATTTTAAAATTTTGGCCTACGACGATGCCACCATACTGGTGGGCGCTAAGTAAGTTCTCAAGCCACACAGTCCTAATATCAACCTATTTTGTCGCCGACAATTACTTACCCACAATCAACATTTTTTTTTGTTTCGGTTCACCTCATTCCCATCTTTCTATAGAGACATAATGTACAACATCAGCATGGATGGCTTACGAGAACTCAGCCGTCTGGAATGGTTTTCATCCGATGCCGATCGCGAATTGTGCGCACTGAAGGGTAAACGTGAAACTGATTGCCACAACTACATACGCGTTTTTGCACGCCTCGATGGTGGGCAAATTTTGTTGTGTGGCACCAATTCTTATAAGCCCCGCTGCCGCCATTATGCCCCCGCCACAAGTGAACTGAGCGCAGCCGGTGGTTCCGGCAAACGGTATGAGATTGTACGCGATGTGGAAGCGCAAGGTCTTTGTCCATATAGTCCGGCACATAACAGCACCTATGCCTATGCGGAGGGTCAACTTTATAGTGCCACAGTTGCTGACTTCTCGGGCAGTGATCCATTGATATATCGCGAAAATTTACGCACCGAACAGTATGACTTGAAACAGTTAAATCAGCCAGACTTTGTGGGTGCTGTGGAGCGTGATCGTTATGTAATGTTCTTCTTTCGCGAAATTTCAATGGAGTATATGAACTTCGGCAAGGTGAGTGAGAAGGGTCAATGACAGTGAGTGTGTATTTAATTTGTAATGATAATTTTGAATTTTGAAATTTTTGATGCGAAGATTAAAAAGATTATATTGTCTTAGAAAAAAGAAAATATGACATTAAAATAAATATAATATAAAGCTGGCTCATAGAAAAATAGTCGAGTTTTCGGTTGTATTAATTTAATAGTATAAAATAAAATTTAAATTTAATTTCTCATCTTTTTTTCAGACAATTTACTCACGAGTTGCTCGCGTATGCAAGAACGATCGTGGGGGACCGTATTCACTCTCCAAAAGTTGGACTTCATTTTTGAAAGCGCGTCTGAATTGCTCTGTACCCGGCGAATTTCCATTCTACTTCGATGAAATACGTAAGTCTTTAAGATTTTATCTAAGATTTTTATTTGTTAGCTTAACCTAACTATCTTTCACATTTTTTCTCGCAGAGGCAATCACATCCATTGTCGAAAGTGGGCCGAATTCACTTATCTATGCTGTCTTTACAACCTCTGTGAACGCCATACCCGGTTCAGCGGTGTGCGCGTTCAATGTAAATGATATCATGGACGCTTTTGAGGGCAGTTTTAAATCGCAAAAAGATAGTCAATCCCAATGGCTACCCATACAGGATGAACAAGTGCCGGAACCACGTCCGGGTAAGTGTGTCGAAGATTCGCGAATGCTATCCAGTATTGCGGTGAATTTCGCTAAAACACATCCGTTAATGGAGACTGCTGTCCCCGCTGTTTACGGACGTCCACTACTCACGAAAGTAAATTTACATCATCGACTCACCACAATCGCCATTGACGCACAAATAATGACCTTAAATGGTGAATACTATGATGTTATCTATTCCGGCACTGATGATGGCAGAGTAACAAAATTTATTAACATACCAACACCCACTCAGGCAAGCGCTACAGCAGGTGTAGACAAGTTAAAAACAGTTTTGATCTCTGAGATGCAAGTACTGCCTTTGGGTGTGCCAGTGCGTGAACTAGTCGTTTCTTCGAAAAGTAATCGTCTATTAGTAGTTAGTGATGGCAGTTTGATTACAGTACCGTTGCATCATTGTGCGCATATTGTAGACTGTTTGGGGTGTCTCAGCCTACAAGATCCAAATTGTGCTTGGGATCAGCAGAATCATGAGTGCAAAAGTATAACACCAAACAACATCAAATTCGGCACAAAAGCCTTCTTACAGAGCTTGAATACCACCAAAAAAGCAGCGGCATCGCTTTGTCCAAAATATACACGTGGCACGCTCATGGCTGATGGTCCAATAGTTAGTGGCGGCATTGTGGCAAGTCCGGGCATTGATTTGGTTACAGCACAACCACAAGCTGTTGAAGATTTGAACAGCAAGAAGTTTCACTACACAAAAGTAAGCGCGGTTAATATCGCCACAGTTGGCGCGAGTACAACCTTAGCGGAAAGTGGCGTTTCCGCTGTCGACGAAGTACCCACCGATAAAGCAACTGATATGGGTGCAAGCACAGGCGCTGGCAATGATTATTTGATGAACAGTTTTAGTGATGGAAATAAAATAACACTACAGTCGGTGGATCCTAATGAGCTCATGAACACGCTGAGTGGTAAGTGTGCAAACTCAAGTTTTTAATAAGTAACAAATTAAATTTTAAATGAAATCATTAAATTGACAGGTCCATTTCACTCTCAAGATGACAGAAAAGACAAACAATTAAAGGTCGCTGGCAAGAGCTTATGTTGGGCGCTCTCTCTCATCGCTTTCGTTGTGGGCATTATTGTTGGTTATTATACCTCAAAACGTTTGTGCAAAGCAACGTCGCTACATGCAAATCACCGCAATCAATTCACCTCGAATTCGTAAGTTTCTTTAATATCAAACAATAATTATCTTCAAGTCTCCTTACTGAATTATTTTAATCCTTATTACTCGCCACACAGTCAATTCGCCGTGAAACATCATAATACCGGTAAAGATGTCAATCTGCTAATGAATCCGCATCATTTTTCCAGTCTTAAAAAACCAAATCTCGACTTAGAGAAGGATCGCAGCCATGAATGTAAGAATTCTACAGAAAACCTTGAAAAGGAGATACCCTGCAAGACGTCTACGTTAACGAAGGTTAAACGCACATATATATAATCTATAGCTTATTTGCAATTCATTGCGAGGCATTGAGTTGCATTTAGAAAACTAGTGGAATTTTTTTTAGAATAGTTTATATATATATATATATTTTTTTTTTTTTGGGAAACAAGTTTGTTAAAGAAATTTGCTTGTATGGAAGTAGTGTGAAATGCGAAGAGTGTTGTATGACTTGCAAATTAGTGTAGACAAAATTACAATTTACGAAAGAGGTTAACTTAAACCGTCTAAATGCATGCATCTAACGGCTATGCACTTAATTTAAGCGAAATGTTATGCGTTATGTGTGCAAATGCAAATACGTGAACAAGCGCAGTTAAGCTATAATGAAATTAGGTGATTTTATTTTTTTTTAAATTGTAATGCGATCTTTCAACGGCGCCCACTAGCCGTGTTGATTTGCACACAAGCGCACGCCATGTGCATAGTCTATGTCATTGCGAGTCTTAATTTTTATATATAATTTTTCATATTAAGTAAATATAGTTTTAATCGCTTAGTTTTGTTTTAAGTTTATTTAATTAATGTGAGTTAATTGAGCGAAGAAGTGAGGTTAGAGGGAGTTTTTGTTTTTTTCTTTGCAAGAACATTGAAAATTAAGTACAAATGTAATTACAACTCCGGCGTGCGGGAGTGAAGACATGTGTTTAGTGTTGCGGAGAGTTGAATGACAAACGAATCATGTACTCATAATACATGCCACCGCAAACTCATAATACATGTACCCGCAAACGCATGCAACACAAAATTCACCTCGTTTGAGTACAAACATATCGAATATCTTTACAATTTATACAGCTCTAATGAAATTTTTGCAAAATTTTTTCGTTTAATCCAAGCAAATTGGCTATAGTAGAGTCAGTGTTTGTGGTTTAAGGTGATTTCGATTTCCTTTTGGCTATGATTGATGTGTTGATTTTCGCCTCTTCACTGCACACCAATTAACACTACGAATGACGACAATACGTTATACGCACAATACGTGAACAATTGCTATAAAGCATAATAATAATTATTAGTAATAACTTAATAATATTGCAAAAGCAAACAAGTATTAATGTAATTAGACTGAACGGTTGACGAACAAAAGCAATACATTGTCAAATGATATATCTATATTTAGTTGGCAGACTCTGAGTCTATACGGTAGAAAGCAACCCGCGAAAAACAGTTGACAATTGTGTGACTAGTCTGTGGTTTTTTCATCGCAGTTAAGCGCTTGGCTAGTTTTGCGTCTTTTTCGATCGTTGCGCATTCTTTTTAAGCTACACCATGCATCATCATCATAATTGTACCATTACCACTGCCATCTTCAACGCTCACACGCACACTTTTGATAACGCTTGATATTCATGCATGTAAACAGCAACTTTTGTCAGCATTCATTTGCTCGAGTACCCTTCCATTGTACTTTTACCACTTTCACGCAAACACCACATTTTTTTTATTTTTCTTGTCTACATACATTCCCAGCTGTTTGTCTGTCGTGCGTGTGAGTTCATTTAATGCATAGACAACACTTGAGACAATTGTATAATTGTATTCTATTAAATCGCTAATAACACATTGAAGGTCATTACACTGCAGGAAATAGCGAAAAGGGAAGAATAGTAAACGTCATGAGTGAAAGTAGTATATTCTCTATGTTTTGTGTTGAAATAAATTATTTATGTAATTGAAATTTGCTTTAAAACATTATTTTTATAAAAAACATTTTGCTGGAAATTTTTTAATTGCAAATTTTTCTCGCATTTTAATATAAATTATAAAAGTTGAACTAAAAACATTAATAAAAATAACTAAGTGCGTTAGCATAGAGGTAAAAAAATTGCGAGTTAAATAAAAAAATCGCATATTTCCTGCAGTGTACCAAAAGCTCTAAAAAAATTCACATATTTCATTTTTATAACAAAGAAATAGTCGCCCACAAATTAATACTTCATAGTTTGCTTTTTTGTTTAAATAATTTTCACGATGACTCATACATTAACTAATAGCTAGCTAGTAATATACTAATCTAATTACAAACAAAATCGTAAAAGAAGCTCAATAAGTTACGAATTGAATTGGAATATGCAATAGAAGTAATTAAAATAAAAAATGGGGTTTATAAATTGGTAACAAAAGGTATAGGAACAAAATTTTTGTATAGTATATACTTGTATATTAAGATGAAATCCCAAATGCCATTGGAAAATTACTGCCTTCGAAATTTAATGTCAATTGACAATAGCAACAATATATGCAAACTAAAATTTAAAAAATAAAAATCAAATGTTAAAAAAAATTCTTTTAGATCGACGAAATGCACATAAATTAACATTATTTCTCAAGTAAAGCTTTTCCACACCCTACATAATCTAAAGTACATACAAATTGAAGGGATTTTAAAATTTAAAGCCTTACAAACTATGATAAATATTAAATATATACTTATATATTTTCTTGTATAGACGTACTAGTTAAAAAGTTAGTCCGTCCGTTTAAGGAATCTTTTAGTAATAAATATGTATCTATGATGAATATTTACAATATATTTTATACAACTATACATAAATAAAGTCATAAGTTAGTTTGTAAGTGATTAAAGAAGTGCGTAAGCTTAAGAATACTTTCGAAGATATACATATGTCGATTGTGGAAATACTATATAAGTATACATATATTTTTCTATAGCATAATTATTTGGAATTATAATTTTAAATGTTTTATACAAACACGCCCATACATATGCGTACATTGTCGTATGAATGACGCGTCGATTTATGATTTTATACTCGTCTCTAAATTAGTGTTTAGTGTTAAAAGAAAAAAAAATGTTGTGATAGATTTTTAAAAAATTTGTTTTTCAACATGCAAATTAAATCCAATCGATTGTATGATTTTTAATGGTTTTAAAACAAGAACATATTATCGGCGGGGTCATCCTAACGTTTTTAAAACCAAAACGCAAGCGTAAAACGATTTCGATTTGCTCGTTGTTGGAAGTGAAATTTTTTTTCCGTTTTTTAATTTGAATAAATTAGTGCTTTTTTAAATAAATAAATATTTGTTTTATATTATATACAGTAAAATATTTCAATGAGTTGCATCAATGAATACTTTTGACAACCTTAAGATTGTTTTGAAATATACAAGCAATTTTAATATAGAGTTTTAATTCCATCCAAAATATTAATACGAACTATCTTCTTATTTGATGTTGTTGTATCGGTTATCTAATCTCCGCTGGGTGAAGGTTCTAAGTTATCGCTGTTATTTCGGTGGTCAACCCTGTTTGAATCGGTAAATTTTGAAATGACAATCCTATAATATCGTTTTTTTTTACTTACGGCCCAATACTCAGTGTGCATAATCGATTTTAACGTTCATGAAAATACGAAATGAGGCGATCACCTTGTAGTTAAACCAAATGTCTTTCAGGTGATGTCCGATCATATGTTTTCACGTGATGAATAGTTTGTTTCTTAACTGCAAAATATCACTAGAGGTCAAGTTTCTGCTCAAAAGAGAGAGATCTGTTTTATTGTTATCTTTGTTCAATAAGCAATTACTCACTCAACGCACATACATAAGTTGGAAAACTAGCCTATAAATGTTTATTTATTATGAATTCTGGGGTTTTACCGGTAATACAGATTTTTAATTCAAAAGGTTTTCATGATTATAAATTTGTCATATCATAGAAATTGAAAACATAAATCTAAATAGGTATGCGCAACGATTTTTCATTATTATATTATTTTTCATTATCATATTCGTTGTGTCTATTTATAGCATTTCGCACATTGCGTGGTGTATTTTTCTTTTCGAAGTATATTTTCGATGTTCCTCATCTGAACTACAAATTAGTACTCAAAAGTTTCAGTTAACATTTGCTCCTTCTCTATTCATTTACGTTCTCTGATATTGATATGCCATTTGAAATATATTCCCTTTATTGAACTATTATTTATTATTTTTTAAATTATTTTATGTTAATTCATTTTTACTTTATTATGAGAAATATATCAAAATACTTTTAAATTATTACTAATAAAGTATTTTTGATATATTTCTTAAAATAATTCATTAATTGTACTTGACATCATTATGGAGTCATAAAAGTAAGAATTGTGTTTTCCGTCGGTATTTCACATTCATGCTTCAATTTTTCTTTCAAATGCATGTGTAAACATATGTAACAGGACATACATATATTATGTCGTTTACACATTTGTATGTATTTTATGTAGATATGTACACTCATTACTTCATGTGAAATCTCCGTTGACACATTTTTGCTTTTATGTCAAAGAGTCAATCTGTCGAAGAACTGACGCGACGACAAAGCGTCACAACATGTGTTGTTGTAGAAAATGCCGAGATGTGCCATACACACTCTACAAACATACATCGCATATGGGCAAGTGCAAAGTCAATGTGTGTACAAAAATTCGAACGTGCTTACGTAAATCTTTGACAAATACAGTCAATCCCGGTTAATGCCAAACCAAAGATGCAGATTTTGTGCTTTGTAGTACATAAGCGATTGTGACTTAAGCGAGTGGTACAAAAAATTATTTCTATGTATTAAAAATACCGTTTCTTTAAAAATTAAGAAAATAAAGTGAGATGCAGCAGAACACCGGCAGATAAGAGGGATTGAGGAGTGATACTTAACGGGTTTACTGTATACATAAATCAGAGGAATATTGAATATTTTCTTTAAAAGTTTCTTGAATTGTAAATCGACAAATTTACTATGTTGTCACTTTTATTCTAAATATTTTAATACTCATATTTGAGGGTTGTCACTTTTCCCTTGAGGGAATATCAGAAATTTGTTCAATTTATGATTTTAGCTTTGCCATCGTCGCGAAAAGACGCTTGTAGGCAAACGCATGCTCGGGAGATGTGTAAGGCGTTTGCTTTATGAATGAAACGACTTAGCTTATTGCTTGTGCGCCAGCGTTCATGAATGAAAATGTTGTTGGTGTGTGATTTACTACAAATTTAGGATTTGTCAATTTGGCTGCCATATTGATTTCTGGTGCTGATGCTATTTGAGACAATTGTTGTTTTGTACAACAATGTTTGTATTTTCCTTATGGCTGACGTACTTGCATTTGAACGCTTAAATGTATGTAGATTTGTGTATGCATTACTTATTTTGCGCGGTCATATGCATATTTGTACATACATATTACATATAGAGCAGTGCGCTCACATGTATTTATTGATAATTGATAAATATTATTATATTATATAATAATACATATTGATGTACATCCATAAATTATTAATTCTGTAAAATTGAAATTAGAAAATTATGAAATAGTAAATATCATTTTTCATAATCTTCACATTTTATCAATGTAACATTTGTGCAAAAAATAATTTATCAATTTTCATCATAAAAATCGTTTATATGGCAAAAATAATCATGCAGTAGTGGCATGGTATTTCTGTTTTTTCATTCATTTCATTCATATTTCTCTTTATATTGGTAGATACGTATTTTGTCAGAGAACGTTGTTAAAAATTCTCATTTCTGTTAAATAACAACAAAACTATACAGAAAGTGGTGAACTCCTTGATCTCAAATTTTCAGCCAACCAATCGAGCATCATACAAAATTCAATTTGCACCTTCTCATTGTTTTAAGTTCTCTGGTTAAATACCGTTTGTTTACACATGTATTAGCGGCTATTTCTTCAGAATTCTCAGTTTCTTACGCTTGCTATTTCTGCTCTCTTCTGCTAGTTTTTTCTTAAGTTAAGAAACTCTTTTCGAGCAGAAACTTGACCTCTAGTGATATTTTGCAGTTAAGAAACAAACTATTCATCACGTGAAAACATATGATCGGACATCACCTGAAAGACATTTGGTTTAACTACAAGGTGATCGCCTCATTTCGTATTTTCATGAACGTTAAAATCGATTATGCACACTGAGTATTGGGCCGTAAGTAAAAAAAAACGATATTATAGGATTGTCATTTCAAAATTTACCGATTCAAACAGGGTTGACCACCGAAATAACAGCGATAACTTAGAACCTTCACCCAGCGGAGATTAGATAACCGATACAACAACATCAAATAAGAAGATAGTTCGTATTAATATTTTGGATGGAATTAAAACTCTATATTAAAATTGCTTGTATATTTCA